CTAAAAGTGAACCCAATGATTCTCAAAGGTATACTTTCAGCAATGACAAAAAAAGTATTAGTTTCAGCAGCGAACTTTCAGCGACGACAAAAAAAGTCGCCGCTAAAAGTCGTCGCCTAAAGTTTTTTTTTTTTTAGTGTATGAATGAACTGCTCTATAACACTTATGTATGCCTTAGTCCTCACGTTTTTTCTTATATGTCGTGTATAATTAGTTAATTAATTACACACACTATATCTTCTACGAAAATACTTTCTGACGTATACTATTTTCTTAGAATATAAACAAATAATAATTTTTACCCATCCAGTAGCCTTTTTTTTTTTTTTTAATAAAGCTGGTTTGGCAACCCACCGCCATCAAGACCAAGAACCACACTTACATGCATTAATAGAGACATGTACATACATACATATATGTGTGTGCGCGCGCATACTCATAGATACATGTACTAATGTGTATGTGTGTATGTGTATGCGTAAGTCTCTGTTATTTGAATTTACAACGCTCAACGAACCAAATAATTAGTTGCCCAAAAAAAGGGACCAAATCATTAAGTTAACCCCTCTGGCAGAAGGGTGAACTCTGAACTGGGTGGCAAAAAATTTAAATTTTTTTTTTTTTAGAAACTCTGAACTGAACGTTAATTATTTGAAATGAATTATTGGCCGTAGAGATAGGTAGGGAAGTACCAGGTTAAAAAAAGGGAAGTCCCGACCAGAACGTTTTGTGTTTTTTTAAAAATTTATTTATTTTTGGGCTAAAAGCAAATCAATTTTATTAATACAGAAAAATTATTACATCCACTAATGACCGAAGCCAAAAAAAAAAAGGACACCCAAAAAATCCTAAAAATAAAAGCTAACACACAAAAGAAACTCACACCAAAACAAAGCAAAACAAGTAAAGCAAATAATACAAGGAAAACGTGCTTTCTTAATTTTTAATAATTCTTTAATTCTAGCTGGCAAACAAAAAGGAATATTATTCTTTCACCCTCTCAGAAGAAAAATTTGAATTTCTATGTTAGGAAAAATAACGTTTGAAAATTTGAAAATATTGGTTAAAAAATTAACAACAGTGAATTTTAAAAATTTTAAAGGAGCATCCACATCCTTCCTTTTGAAATCTTTTCAATGTTTATCTTTTTTAAATACTGATCATTCAGTAATCAAATTTTTTAGTACTTATCTTTTCAATCTGTTCAATATTTAAATTTAATTTTTTCAGCACAGCCATCTTTAGTTTCTTTTAAAACTTCTGTATCTTTAATTACTTTTTCACTGTAGAAGAAATCGAGGGGGAAAGACATAATAGCCCCACCAAAATATATAAATGACATTAAAAGGATCATAAATTTATGAAATACATAGAAGACAAAGGTTAAACAAGGAAAGAATCTCAAAAAAAAAAACCTTTGGATTTTAAAATTTTAAATCAGTTTTGTTTGTTACACTTTAATAACGATTGACAATGTTTGAAAAGCAAATGACAACACATTTTATAGTAATTCTTAATTTGAAATTTTAAAATTTTAGAGGTATGTTTTTGGAAGAATTCTAATTAAATCCAGTTAAAATATCAAAATCCAAATTAAAACCTACAATTTTAACAAATTCCTAATCAGGCTAAGGGGCCTTATTAGGAATTTTTAAATGTTTTAAAAGACTAAAATACCTATTTAAAATAGCAAATTGGTAATTTTCAATCAATTTATGATCTAAATTCTTTTTTCTTGAGATATCACCATATAAACTATCCGCTTCACGGGTTCTCACTCCACATGTTGTTAAAAGAGTAAAATGTATGATTTTTTTAATATAAATTTATGTTAAGAAGTTCATATTACTCCATCCGTCCCAAGAAATGTTGGAAAAATTATTTAGATTTTTAATACAAACAATTATATATACATATATATATTATTAAAAACTAAAAATATACTATATGATAATTTTAATAATAACTATTTTAATGAAAAAATATTTTTTAAATATTTTTTTTACTATTTTTATAATTTTTTATTTTTTAAAAATCTTTTTAATATAATTTTAATTTCTAACGACACTAATTTTGAATTTTACATCATAAATAATTTTTCATAAATATTTTTTAAATTTATTTTTTAATTCACATTGATAAGATATTCAATTTAATTATATATATTATATTACATTATATTATATATGTATATGTGGTTTATATATTTGAAAAAAATAATTTACAATTAGTCAAAAAATCTTGTTATTCAAAAAATTCAAAAATAACTACTATAATAAAATCTAATAAATTATTTTATATAAAAAATTAAATGATTTAAATAGATTATGATAAACAGTATTTTCCTACTTGTATATATATATCCTATGTAATTTATTTTCTTAAACTTTGCAACGGAAACAAATTCCGTCGCTAATTTTTTTGACGGATTAGCGACGGAATTGTCTGACAGGAAAAGATTCCGTCACTAATTCTGTCGCTAAATACGGATTAGCGACAGAATTTAGCAACGGACAGAAATTCCGTCGCTAATCTATCAAAAAAATTAGCGACGAAACGAATTCCGTTGCAAATTCCGTCGCTAATTTGCAACGGAATTTGTTTCCGTCGCTAATTCGCTGTTTTTTTGTAGTGTTAATTACTAGTAAGAATTCTAGCAATAAGATTATAAGATATAACATGAGAACATTTATATGCATGGAAAATATAACAAAGCACTTAAAAAATAACAAATTTGATGCTAAAATATACTAATACATTAAGATTATGATTTTTCACCTATAAGAAAAAAAATTTTCCTTCAAAAAATAATTAATTCAATGGTGTTGCAATCAAGTAATTAAAAGGTCTTACTCCCATTACCACAAAAAATCCCTGTTCCTATAAATTTTTTATCAATATATCAGAATTAGTATAAAATATTATATTGTGTATCGTCAATTTTTTGCTCATAGTATTTCTAAATTTTTTTTAATGTAAAACATTTTGTATAAATAAATACTATATAATGTCAAGTTTTCATGCTTTACTTTTTTTAAAATAATATTATTTTAAATTATAAAAGGGCATTTTAGTCTTTTAATAAAATTTAAAAAGCCCTAATAAATTTTATTGGCCTAATTAATAATTTGTTAAAAGTGTAGGCCTTAATTTGAATTTTAATATTTCAACCAGATTTAATCAGAATTTTTCCTATTTTTTTTATGTGGAGATTTTCCTTTAAAAAAGTAAACGGATAAAATCTTTTTAGATTCTGCAGCATAGATCAATTCTGCAAATATTTGAAACTCAATTATAAATGATGGAGAATTAATTAGTTGCAAATATATTGTAAATTGATAAAAATTTTCACGTCTAAATTTCTAAAAATTTCAACTTAATTCTTGGGACTTTTTCACTGAACCTTCAAAATTTGCAATCGAGCTTTAATTTGAAGATATACAAACCCTGGCAATTTATAAGGGTATACTTTTAGATTTGTAATTTAGCTTCCCAATGTTGCAATTGAGCCATGTTGGTGATTCCATTAGGGTATTTTTGTGTATTTATTTTATTTATTGATCTCAACCAGTATCTAACGTTTCACTAATTCGTAGTTCTCATATGTCATTACTCATTTACTTATTTTGATTTTGGCCAAAAATTTTTTTACTTATTTTGATACTACCTCATTTTCTTAATATAAGATTTACTTAATTAAATTAAGTATATTAAAAAAACTAGTTAAATTAATTATTTTTTAAAAATATGTGTTAGTTTTTCTAAAATACCTTCTTAAATCATTTGTATTGAAATTGTTCCTTGATGCAAATTTCCTTAACATTTGTGTATATTTGGGAAAAAATGAGGAGATAAAATTAATTTAGATCTTATATTTAAAACCAAAATCAACCTGACTCATAATTAACTTTTATATTAATATTAAAGATTGAAACTAATAGTTCTAATATGTAACTTTCTCAAAAGTTGAATACTCAGATACGCAAAAAAGTAAATATGAAACTAAGCACTGAAAAATTTGAGATGAGTACTAAGAAAGTAAAGTCAGGCCAAAAAACATAAAAAAGATTATCACCAGGAAAAAAAAATTTAACACGAACTGTAAATAAAAGGGGGGAGGGAGGTGCTCGAAAATTCCCCCCGGGAGGGGAGCATTTTTATCAATTCAAGAGATTTCAATTTCATTCAAGGGATTTGATATTTTTTTAATTTCTAAAATTTATGGTCTTCAACTATGATTTATATTCCTCTGCTATTTAATATAAGACCTAATTAAGTAATTTGAGTAGATTAAAGATGTTTGTTACATTAGCTAATATGATATTTTTTCTAAGACACCCTAAGCATATTTCTTAATTCTCTCTCCCTTCTTCTGTTTGATTATTGTTGGAGGAATATCAATAGAATTAATTTGAAAAAAAATTGATAAACATATAAAACAAATCTTGCATATAAAATTAATATTAACTCTTTAATTCGATCCTACATTAAAGACTAAAGGAGTTTTTTTTTTTTTTAAGCCTTTCAAATACTCTAATACCAATTGATCCAAGTTGGGCACATTATCACCTCCACAATTAAATTCACTAAAGATAATATCATGTGATCACAACTAAAGAATAATGGGAATAACAATTATTAATTAAACTATAGCATTTAAGCCACTTTAATTCCCAAATTACCGCTGCACTCAAATCTCACATTAATACTGAATTATGCCCAAATACTTAAGTCCCACAAAAGCTAAAAGTTAACAAATAACAAGTAAAAGATATCTATAAATACTAAACTCTATCACAGCCCAACCATTTCTCTCCGGCATTTTTCAGAGATCCTAAGAGACAATATATATATATATATATATATATATGACATCAATATTCTTCCCGATTTGCTTACCTTCAGTTTACTTTATGATCTGTTTCAAAGCTCCTCACTCTTTTCTCCTGTCTTTATAGTTCTTGTTTCTCCCCTCTCGCTCGCATTTCTCGGGAATTGAAATGGCGAAGTCATCATCGTGCAGCGAGCAACTAGCAGAGTTGAAGAAAGGGCCATGGACTCCCGAGGAAGACCAGAAGCTCATGTCTTACATTCAACTACACGGCCATGGAAGCTGGTCTTCCTTTCCTGCAAGAGCTGGTAATCACTCTACTGCCTCTTGTTCCACACATGCACACACATACTGCTCACGAATCTGTTCTAATCTAAAAAATCCCTCGTAAATTCTTCTTATAATGAAATGGTAAATCATAGTGATAAGTACAATATTGGAGACTTATCTGATAACGAAGATGAGTAATGCGTTTTAAGTTTTGATGAGGAAAAGGACTCCGAAGATGTGGGAAGAGCTGCAGATCACTGAGATGGATTAATTATCTAAGACCTGACATCAAACGAGGCAACTTCAGCTCGCAGGAAGATCAAACCATTATTCAACTTCATGCTCTTGTTGGAAACAAGTAAGTTCCATTCAATCATTTGATTCCTAAATATATTAATATCATTCCTGAATAGCTTCGTGCTATATATTTTATAATATAAATGCATGTACGTACAGATGGTCGGTGATAGCACGTCACCTGCCAAAGAGAACGGACAACGAGATCAAGAACTACTGGAACACCAACCTTAAGAAGAGGCTCGCCGGAATGGGTATCGACCCCACCACACACAAGCCCATCAACGACGCCACCAACCTCAGCCATATGGCTCAGTGGGAGACTGCTCGGCTCCAAGCCGAAGCCAGGCAACTCAAAGAATATTCTGAGCTTCAGATCCAGAACCAGCTCGCCTCCTTCTCCTCTTCTCAGACACGGCTCGTCCTCAAGAAGGTCTACCTTCGCCCATCGCCACCTCCTTGCCTGGACGTGCTCAAGGTATGGCAGAATTCACGGTCGTCCGCCACATCGAATCCCTCAAAAGAGAACACCCCCAGAATGCATAGCATGTACGCCATGATGCTCGCCACCGACGACCTGGAGTCGCCGGCGTCCACGTTGAGCTTCCCGGACACTGTCCCTGCCAACTCCAAATGTACTGATAGTAACACTTTCTTGGGGCTGATCAATCAAAGTTCACTTCCATCCGCCACCGTCGTCGCAAATGACAATGGAGTCATTCTGAATGAAGCATGTGGAGACAAAGTACGAAGTGTGGGGGGCGAAGACAATATTATGGCAGCCTTGGAAGCATTCAGATCAACACGATGCAACTATAATGACGATGTGTTGGTGTACGGATTTAATGAGATGGCACCACAACAAAACCTGGGAGTGGGGGATGATTGGGAAGCCATTCTTAACCTCGTCAGTTCGCCCCCATCCCCTGGAAGTATTTGGTCTTTTGCAGATTAGTATGCCTAAATAAAGAGGTTTAATTTGTTCCTAAAGGTATCCAATCATAATTCTCTTCAGTATTTGTTTCTTTTCCAGATATTGTGTTATGTGATTTATCGAATTTGTTATTTGTTTTGACTCTTATTGATGACTATTTATAGATATTTTAATTTTTTAAAATTCTATCTTTTTTTCTTTTTGTGCTTTGCATCGATTTTTTTTTTTTTTGGTGATATGCTTTGCATCGATTTTGCTGGACACCATTAAATCAAAACTACAGGGATCTTGATGAACTTGGAGGTAAAAAGTGAATTTAAATCTAAAGAAGTAGACACAAATGTTTAGATTAGAGATAGTTCTAAAGATTTTTCATGACCCTAAAACATTGACTTCGTGATTTAATTAGTTGTTTAGATAGAATAAAAATGGATTCTGCCCTAATTAAAAAGGAATTAATATATAATTTGAGAGAAATTATAAGATACTTTAGGAGCAATTATTACTGTATTGAGATCAAATATTAATGATCCCTTCTAATTTCACAGCGAATCCATTTTGAATAATCTCATACTTTGTATTTTGACATTCCACATTTTAGATAGACAGTTAAGTTATCCTTCATACTCACTATTATTTATAACGGTAGTTATTAGGGTAATCGTTGGCCCAAAAAAAAGGATATTAGGGCAATCATATATTTGCATACTCCATATCCATCAGGCATAAAATTTCCTTGGCATGATAGATATGTTTTGGAGGCTAAGTTGGTTTGTGTCCGAAAACTTATATCTCTACAATCTAAGTAACTTTGTAAAACTTATGTCATTCTACTCATTCTTATTAACAAATGTTTCCAACCCAATAATTGACTTTCATTTAGAATGCATCCTACTTTTATTATAAGCATGTTCCCATTAACAAACTCAAGAAACTTTTGATTGTCAATGGCCCAATCTTATATTTCTTGCTTGTTCTCCTTTCATCGATCCAAGTACAATCCATTGTATTATTAATTAACAAATTATTGACATAAAAGTCCATCAAATTAGCGATTCTCAAGTTTACTTGTGATTTAATTTGTTAAAGTTACAAAATTTAAGGTGTTTCCTCACTCATTCTTTTTTTTTTTTTGGGGAAATAATTGCGATAGACTTTCATAAAAGTAATACTCCCTCCGTTCCTTATTATAAGAGACATTTGATGCTTATGGCATGTTCCCATATATAAGAGACACTTAAAAGTTGTCTCTATTTTTTTTATTGATTTTCTATTTTACCCCTATTTATTTTGTCTCCAACTCATACTCTCTCTCCCTCCCACTTCTCTTTCTTTTAATAATTTAATTGTTCTCTCTCATACTCTCTCTCCTTATTAATGGGGGCATTGTTGGAAAAAACATTATACTTTTTACATATTAATTGTTTTCAACTAATTTTAACTGTTTTTTTTTATCAACGTAATTTGGTTATTTGTCTCTTATAATAAGAAATGGAGGGAGTACATCATAAAATTTCGACAACATTAAACCAGTAGAAGCAACCGGCAATCAAACCAATACTCAACTACTCAAATTAGCAATTCTCAGTCCTCTGTTTCTCTGAAAAATCTTGGTAAATTTTACCAAATCAATCCTTGTGAACTAATTTGGTATGCTAGCTATTTATATAGCAGAGAGAGACAGTATTATTTACTATAATGTATTATTTTATCCTTAATTCTTGTTTTGCAAATTATTATTTTCTTTAAAATGTATATATACATTAAATAGGGGTAAAGTTAAAAACTTACTACATAAATTTTAAGATTGAGTTAATACTACTATCTTCGTTTCTTAATATAAGAGCTAGTTGTCTAATTTGACTAAATTAAAAAAATTAATTAAATTAGTTATTCGTAATAAATATGTATTGTCTTTACTAAAATATCCTTACTAATTATGTGTATTAACTAGAATTATTATTTGATAAAACTTTTAACATGTGCAATTATTACAAAGACTACTTTAAAATGATTTACTTTGCCAAAAAAATATTATTATTTCTTAAAAATTTTAAAGATGAAATCCCATATTTTTTTTCACAAAATTAAATAACCACCCAAAAAAATTTCATATTAATTGTCTTAATAATAGAGGTTGCAACAAAATATATTTGTCCAAGTAGTTTTTTTTAACAACACATTACATTATCTGAAAAGAAAAAATAAAATAAAAGGGACATGATTATTCTTGTATATAGTGAATAATTTGATCTCTTATGGAGTCACAAAGCCGAGCCATGTGAAATGAAGATTCTATTGATGAAGGTATTAAAACCTTGTCTATATATTAACTCTCTAATTAGGTTTTACATTAATGACCGGAACAATAATCTTACATTTAAGACCAATATTAAATCTCCAATTAGGTCCTACATTAAAAACCTAAATAATAAATTTATTAATTTTTTTTGCCAACATAATAAATAATATATAAAAACATATATTAATTACTATATCCAGTTGTAAATGTAAGAGTTAGTTGACTAATTTGAGTAAATTAAAAAAATAAGTTAAGTTAGTTATTTGTAATAAACAGGTGTTGCCTTTCCTACAATATCCCTATTAATAAAGTTTATTGGTTATAACTTAAAAAACGATAGACAAATATGAGAAATAAAGTAGATTGGAGTTTTATATTTAGGACCAAATAAAAATCAAATGAGGTCTTATATTAAAAACAAGATGTGGTAATTTTTGATATGTGTATATATAATTATAAAATATAAGATTATGTTTTTAGAAAACTAAATAATTATTTTCAACCAAAAACAAAATTACCACACGTAGGGGGTGGGGGGAGAACCACTCAAAAAGCAAAAATTTTCCATCGTGCATAGATAAACACCGAACTTAAATGTACTATGGCCCTTCATCAACCAATCATTTCTAAAGACAGTGAACGGATCATTTTCTAAGACGCTGTTGTGGACGGATTGGTGGTTTTATGTGAAGCAACATTTTGTACTCTGCCTATGAACACGAATGTGGCGTGGTAAGTCTGAAAAATCTTCTTTTTTTTTTTTTTGCTACAACAGGACGAGATCAAACCCACAACACACGCAACCAACACACACATGCCACTCAGCCAAACGGCCAGTGGCCTGAAAAATCTTTTTAAAAAATAGGGGCCTCACCGTTTCAAATAATTTCATACCCACCGTCTAAAAAATTAACTATAAGAGTAACATTAATCAACTACAAAAAGTGAATCTTCATCAAGTGTTTGTGGTTACCATGCCATGGAAGAGGACATGAAAAGTCATCACTATTCTTTCCACTTGAAAAAAGTAGATGAACTCTGCAAAAAAAATAAATGCCAGAGCAATTTTATACATCTGCATCGAAAATTACATCAAATGCCATATATATCTAACCAAAATTTACACATTCTCTTTGTCTATAAATAGGACTAGAGAAGTAAGATTTATTTTATAGTATAATTTATATTACAAAATATTTAGAATCTGAGTAGTTATTATTTTCTGTTTAGATGCACGGATTCACCCCTTATTATTAATTCAGGCTGCAGGCTGAACAATATGACAGCTTTTCCTAACCTCATTTAAGAAAGTCATGGTAACCTTTTATCTCAGAGTCTATTTAGAATAATTTATAAGTAGTTTTTTAATCATAATTTATAGAATACAATGTGAATATATGAAAAAAGTTTTATCTTGACTTACATGAAATGTTTTATTTTAAAGATGATGGTAAAACGGGGGCCTAATCTTTATATATTTATAATTAATTGAGAGAATTTATCTTTTGCTATCTACTTTATTTTGTTAATTTATTATATGTCATAAAATTAATAAGTAGTAATCCAGATGGTCCCCAAAAAAAAAGCACTAATCCAAAGCCTAGTATAAATTGTTCCATCGCGTACCGCTTCGGTATTTACAAACATGCGCTTCTGTGTTTTGTCAGCCGAATTCATAAGTGACCGAGGGGTGTTTGCCAACACATAAAAATATTTTAAAAAAACATTTTTTTGTGAAACAAAATAAACTTCTTCACAGTTATTTTATATATCACAAAAATATTTTTAAAATTATAGTTTGATCTAAACACCGCGTAAATAAGCAGATTACAAGAAGGGTTATAGAGCGGAAACAAAAGGATCAGAGCAGACAACATCAAATTAAATGAGAAGACTTTGGAAACCCGGCAGCACGAATGGTGCAGTCTGCCCTCGCAGAGACTCCGTTGAACACGCTGAGACGGAACACTTTTTTCTAATTGCGAAAATTCAAATTTTAATGAGGCTACCAGACTCGTTGAATCACTCTTTGAATATTTCAAATTTAAAATTTTTAATTGTGATTTTTAAATATTGTCTTCTTACCAAGAAATTGACAACTCATAAATTATTTTTATTTTGAATTCTGTATATCCTGAAATATTTCTTAAAGAATAAAGGAAACAAGGCACTAAAATATCTTCAAAACTGTTAAAAAGGATAAATTAGGATGGATTGATTTTAAAATTTTAAATCAGACCCCTTATACTATTTTAAAATTTTAAAATATTGTAAAATGACAACATTATACTTATTCTTGGTGACTACCTTCATATAACTATTGAGTACTTTAGTTTAACTTTTAATTATTTTTGTTTTCAAAGTTCTGATGACTACTCTTTTTTAGTTATTGACTATATTTATTTTTAGAGTTTGGATAACTATTCTTATATAGTTACTGACTATTGTAGTATTGCGATTAACTATTTTCATTTTTAAATATTTAGTGACTATTCTTGTTTGGCTATTGATATTGGCTCACCACCTGTGGAGTCATCGGTGCTAGAGCTCTGATAGCTAGAAACAGACTAAGGTTGATGAGGTGGCAATATTTAGAAAAGAAAAAAGAAAAAAATATGAAGGGCATTTGTGTAATTTCATAAGATTTGAAATCTTCAAAATGTTACAGCAGGTTTGAATTGAA